TAGACCAATGGAACAGAATTTGAGAAACAGATCCAGAAATACTAGTACATGGATTTTGACATACCTTAGAGGAGACAGTGCACATCAGTGGTGAGTGGGTAGAGTTTTCAGTAAAGGTAGTATGACAATTGGATATTCATATGGGAAACAAGTTTCCCAGATTTTACTACCTTATCATACAAACAAAAATATAAATTCCAGATATATTAAAAACCTAGATGTGAAAAGAAAAGCTAAAAAGCCCTTTGAAGATAATGTAGGAGAGTGTCTCCATGACCTAAGGGTGGAAAATAACTTATTTTAAATAAGCCATAAAAAGGCTCTAACTGTAAAGGGAAGATTTTATATTCACCTTCATTGAAGTGAAGTAACTTTATTCATCGAAAGATACCGTAAGAAACTAAGAGAAATAACAAATGGGGCTACATCAAAATAAAAAGCTTTTGCACAACAAAAGAAACCAACAACACAACAAGAAAGCCCACTGCATGGGAGAAGATATTTGCCAATGTTATCTCCGATAAGGGTTTAATCTCCAACATTTACAGGGAACTCAACAAAAGGAAGATAAACAAACCAATCAAAAAATGTGCAAGGGACCTAAATAGACACTTTTAGAAAGAAGGCATAAGGAAGGCCAAGAGACATAAGAAAACATGCTCAAAGTCACTAATCTGAGAAATGCAAATCAAAAAGACAATGCGGTACCATCTCGCACCTGTCAAAATGGCTATCATCAACAAATCAAAGGACAAGTGCTGGTGAGGATGCGGAGAAAAACCCTCATGCACTGCTAGTTGGAATGCAGACTGGTGCAGCCACTGTGGAGAACAGTATGGAGTTTCCTCAAAAAACTAAAAATGGAACTCCCATTTGACTCAGTGACTCCACTTCTAGGAATATATCCCAAGAAACTAGAAACACCAATCAGAAAGGATATATGCACTCCTATGTTCATAGCGGCACAATTTACCATAGCTAGGATTTGGAAACAGTCTATGTGCCCATCAGCAGATGAGTAGATTAAAAAACAGTGGTACATCTACACAATGGAATACTATGCTGCAGTAAAAAAGAAGGAATTCTTACCATTTGCAACAGCATGGATGGAACTGGAGAGCATTATGTTAAGTGAAATAAGCCAGTCAGAGAAAGATAAATATCACATGACAATAGAGCCAAGATAGTCTCTTCAATAAATGGTGTTGGGAAAATTGGACAGATATATGCAAGAAAATGAAACTAGACCACCAACTTACACCATACACAAAAATAAACTCAAAATGGATAAAGGACCTAAATGTACGACAGGAAACCATAAAAATTCTAGAAGAATCCAAAGGCAACAAAATCTCAGACATATGCCGAAGCAATTTCTTCACTGATACAGCTCCTAGGGCACTTGAAACTAAAGAGAAAATGAACAAATGGGACTACATCAAAATAAAAAGCTTCTGCACAGCAAAAAGAAACCATCAACAAAACAACGAGAAAACCCACTGTGTGGGAAAACATATTTGCCAATGTCATATCTGATAAGGGCCTAATCTCCAAAATTTATAGGGAACTCATACAACTTAACAAAAGGAAGATAAACAATCCAATCAAAAAATGGGCAAAGGACCTAAATAGACACCTTTCAAAAGAGGACATTCAGAAAGCCGAGAGACATATGAAAACATGCTCAAAGTCACTAATCATCCGAGAGATGCAAATCAAAACAACAATGAGGTACCACTTCACACCTGTCAGACTGGCTATCATCAACAAATCAACAAACTACAAGTGCTGGAGAGGATGTGGAGAAAAAGGAACACTTGTGCACTGCTGGTGGGAATGCAGACTGGTGCAGCCACTATGGAAGACAGTATGGAGTTTCCTCAAAAAACTGAAAATGGAACTCCCATTTGACCCTGTGATCCCACTTCTAGGAATATATCCCAAGAAGCCAGAAACACCAATCAGAAAGGATATATGCACCCCTATGTTCATAGCAGCACAATTCACCATAGCTAAGATCTGGAAACAGCCTAAGTGCCCATCTGTAGATGAATGGATTAGGAAACTGTGGTACATCTACACGATGGAATACTATGCTGCTCTAAAAAGGAAGGAACTCTTACCATTTGCAACGGCATGGATGGATCTGGAGAGCATTATGCTAAGTGAAGTAAGCCAGTCAATGAAGGAAAAATACCACATGATCTCACTCATTCATGGATAATAGAGACCATTATAAACTTTTGAACAATAATACATACAGAGGTAGAGCTGCCTCAAACAGATTGTCAAACTGCAGCGGGAAGGCCGGGGAGGGTTGGGGGGCAGGAGGTAGGGGAGTAAGAGATCAACCAAAGGACTTGTATGCATGCATATAAGCATAACCAATGGACATAAGACACTGGGGGATAGGGGAGGCTAGGGGACTGTCTAGGGCGGGGGGGAAAAATGGACACATATGTAATACCCTTTGTAATACTTTAAGCAATAAAAAAAAATATCACATGACTAGAGGACATCCCTCACTTCCTCTGCGTGCTGGCCTGATAGCCCCTAACTGCCCCCCCTTCTGGCCTGGTCGCCCCTAACTGCCCCCGCACTGCTGGCTAGGTCGTCCCTTACTGCCCCCTGCCTGCCAGCCTAATTGCCCCTAACTGCCCCCCTTGCTGTCCTGGTTGCCCCCAACTGCACCCCCCCCCACTGGCCTGGTCGCTTCTTACTGCCTCCACCCCTGCCTGCCTGGTTGCCCCACACTGCCTGCCGCTCAGTCATTTGGTCGTCCCTCACTAACCCCCCTGCCAGCCTGGTCGCCCCATGCAGCCTGCTTGTTCAGTTGTTTGGTTATCCCTCACTAACCCCCCTGCTGGCCTGGTCATAGGCAGTCATCTTTTGAGGGTGTGAGGGTCAATTTGCATATTGCCTGTTTATTATATAGGATCTCACTCATTTATGGAATGTAATGAACAACATAAACTGATGAACAAAAACAGATCCAGAGACAGAGAAGCATCGATCAGTCCATCAAATCTCAGAGGGAAGGTAGGGGAGGGTGGGGGTAAGGGGGAAAGATCAACCAAAGGACTTGTATGCATGCATATAAGCCTAACCAATGGACACAGACACCAGGGGGGTGAGGGCATGAGGGGGGGTGGGGGGTAATGGGGCGATAAGGACACATATTTTTAATCAATAATAACAAAAAATATACCATAAGGAGCCCTTGCCGGTTTGGCTCAGTGGATAGAGCATTGGCCTGTGGACTGAAAGGTCCCAGGTTCGTTTCTGGACAAGGGCACATGCCCGGGTTGTGGGCTTGATCCCCTGTGTAGGGTATGTAAGAGGTGGCCAATCAATCATTCTCTCTCATCATTGATGTTTCTATCTCTCTCTCCCTCACCCTTCCTCTCTGAAATCAATAAAAATATATTTTCAAAAACAGATATTATGAGGATAACAACAAAAGAAGTCACAAATTGGAAGAAGACATTTGCAAAAACATTACACAGTGCTGAATATCCAGAATACAGAGAAGTACAGCTGAAGGAAAAAAAGAAAAGAAAAAATAGGTGAAAGACCAATAAGCAGAGAAAACTAAATGTCTAACAAATTAAAATTTATCCAGCCTCATTAATAATCACAACTGCAAATTGAAATTGCACTAAGACACCATTATGCCATAAAATTAGCAAAAATAAAATTATCTGATACACAAGTTTTGGTACTGTGGGAATGGAGTCTTTTCTGGAAGTGTAAGGTGGTACAAATGGGCTGGAAAAACAATTTGACATTATCTAATAAAATTCAAAATATGCATACCCTTATTACCCAGCAGTTACACTTCTAACTATAGAGCTTTGGTATTGCCTCATAAGACATACACCAAAAATATCAATAACAGCATAATTGGTAATAGTAAGAATCAGAAATGTTTATCAATAGGATCATGGACAACTTGTGGTATAATCATACAGCAGAATGCTAAATAACAGTGAAAATGAACAAGCTCCAGGTACACAAGAGTCTGACTCACACACTATTGACTGAGATAGGGAAATTAGACCCAAAGCATGGATGCATGGAACAGACTGACATACCTTGATGCGGGGGCGAGAAGAGATAAACCAAAGAACTTACATATAGTACTTATATGCATAGCCCATGGACAGGGGCAATAGGATAGTGAAGACCTGGGGTGGGTGGGTAGGGGCCTGGTGGAGGAGGGGAAGGGGGAGGAAATGGGCGATAACTCTAATACTATCAACAAAAAATATATTTTAAAAAAATTTTAGGAAAAGGATATAAACAGGAGAAACTAAATTCTAATAGCTCAGATAGCAAGAAGCAAGGAGATAATCACCACAGGAGTAAGGATGTGGAGACTTCTGGGCACACAAGTGATGTTGCTTAATCAAGGGACCTGAGGGCCTCTGAACTGTGACAATTATCGTGTAGCTAAACTTGGGCCATGGCCACATGAGGCGTTTGCTTCATAATCTTTAATTTGTATACATGGGTGAAAATGTATGCTAGGATTAATCTGTAAATTGAGCATATCAATTACTGTGATATAAAATACACAGTGATGGTTTTAAGCCAACAAGCAGAATTGTGGTAAAAATGCTTATTTTTTATTTTATCTTTTAAGAAAACATGTATTGTAGGTTTTGAAATATTGGCATGCGAACAGAAAGTCATATTTTAGTACTGCAAAATTAGTCATAAATCCTGTCATAAAATTGATATTATGATGTTAAAAAAGGCTATATTTTCCTATTGGCTTAGTACCCATGTTGAAAATCAATTGACCATAAATATGAGGGTTTATTTTTGGACTCTCAGTTCTGTTCCATTGATCTATATGTCTATTTTTATGCCAGTATTACACTGTATTGATTAATGTTTTGAAATAGGGAAATATGAGTTCTCCAACTTTGTCCTTTTATTCCATGATTGTTTTGGAAATTCTAGGTCTCTTCAATTTCCATGTGAATTTTAGGACCAACTTCTCTATGCAGAGAAAGGTAGGAATTTCATAGGGAATGCATTGAATATGTAAATCAGTTTGGAGAGTATGGTCATCCTGACTGAATCAAGTCTTCTTATTCTTTTTTTTTTTTAAAATATATTTTATTGATTTTTTACAGAGAGGAAGGGAGAGAGATAGAGAGTTAGAAACATCGATGGGAGAGAAACATCGATCAGCCGCATCCTGCACATCTCCTACTGGGGATGTGCCCGCAACCCAGGTACATGCCCTTGACCGGAATCGAACCTGGGACCCTTCAGTCTGCAGGCCGACGCTCTATCCACTGAGCCAAACTGGTTTCGGCAAGTCTTCTTATTCTTGAACATTGGATGTCCTCTCATATATTTTAGTCCCTTTAATTTCTTTACATAATATATTTTAGTTTTCAAAGCATATATTTTGCACTTCTTTTACATTTATTTCTACGTACTTTATTTTTAGTAATGCTAAATTTATTAAAAATGGAATGGTTTCCTTAATTCTATTTTCAGTTTGTTCATTGCTACTGTGTAGAAATATAATTGATTTTTATATATTAATTATGTATTCTGCAGTCTTCCTAAACTTGTTAGTTCTAACAAATTTTAGTGTATTCCATAGGACTTTCTATATACCAGATCTCATTATCTGCAAATAGAAATAGTTTTCTTTCTTTCTAATCAGGATACCCTTTATTTCATTGTCTTACCTAATTGCCTTGCCTAAAACTTCCAGTACAATGCTGAATAAAAGTGGCTATAACACCATATGATTTCACTTATATGTGGAATATAATGAACAAAATAAACTAACAAAGCAGAAACAGACTCATAGATACAGAGAACAGACTGACAGCTGTGAGAAGACAGAGGGGTTGGAGGGCTGGATGAAAAAGTTGAAGGGATTAAGCAAAAAAACCCACAAAAACTCAAAACTCAAACACAGACAACACTGGTGATTAATGGAAAGGGGTGGGGAGAGATAGAAGAGGATAAAATGGGGATAAATGGTGATGGAGGGAGACTTGACTTGGGGTGGTGAACACACACTACAGTGTACACATGATGTGTTGTACATCTCAAATATGTATAATTTATTAACCAATGTCACTCCAATAAATTTAATAAAAATAATTTTTTTAAAAAGTGGCTAGGCCCTAACCGTTTTGGCTCAGTGGATAGAGCGTCGGCCTGCGGACTCAAGGGTCCTGAGTTCGATTCTGGTTTCTCTCTCATCGATGTTTCTGGCTCTCTTTCCCTCTCCCTTCCTCTCCGTAAAAAATCAATAAAATATATATTTTTTTAAAAAAGTGGCTAGAATTAATATTCTTGTCCTTTTCTGATCTCAGAGAGAAAGCATTCCATTAAAGTATAATGTTAATGCTGGAGTTTTCCTAGATGCTCTATTTAAATTTCTTTTATTTATGTTTATTGTTGAAAGTATTACAAATGTGTACCCCCCCACCATTGCCTGCCTCCACAGGTTCCACCTCACCCCAGGCCCTCACTGCACTATTGTCTGTGACCTTGGGCTTTGGGTATCCTATATAATAAAAGGCTAATATGCAAATTGTCCCCTCTACCAGGAGTTTGACCAGGGGGTGGGGCTGGCCAGCCGACCACCTGTGGCCCTCCCCCAGGCCGGTGTAGCCTGATTGGCCTGGGGCAGGCTGGTCAGACCCCACCCGTGCACGAATTTGTGCACTGGGCCTCTAGTATGCATATAAGTTCCTTGGTTAATCCCTTCGTGCCCCTCTCCCCTTCCTAAGTGCTCTTTATCAGGTGGAGGATGTAAGTTCTCCCTTTAGAGAAAAAACAACAACATTGATTAACAGGGTAGATTTAGGAGGTCCTGCTACTTTAGAAGCTGTAGATTTTTCCTTCCTTTAAAAAACATTTATTTTAAAATTATATTTGACATAGACAATATTATATTAGTTTCAGGTGTACGACATAGTGATTCAACATTTTATATACCTTACCAAGTGGTCACTACAAAAAGTCTAGTAACCATCTGTCACCGTGCATAATTATTATATCTGTACATTATTCCATCTTTGTAACTTTTATAACTGGAAGTTTGTATCTCTTAATCCCCTTCCCCTTTTCTGCCCAATCCTGCATTCCCCTCCTTTCTGGCAACCATCAGTTTGTTTTCTGTATCTGTCAGTTTCTGTCTGTTTAATTTTATTTGTTCTATTTTTTTTTTGGATTACATATATAAGTGAAATTATATGGCTGTCTTTCTCCATCAGACTTACTTCACTTAATATAATACCCTCTAGGTCCATCCATGTTGTCGCAAATGGCAAGATTTCATTATTTTTTATCAGCCTTCTTTATTATAGCCTCCTCCATTATATCCCTCTAGATCAGTGATGACGAACTTATGACACGCATGTCAGAGGTGACACGCGAACTCATTTTTTTAAAAAAAAGTATTTTATTGATTTTTTTACAGAGAGGAAGGGAGAGGGACAGAGAGCTAGAACCATTGATCAGCTGCCTCCCGCACCCCCCCCCCCCGGGGATGTGCCCGCAACCAAGGCACATGCCCTTGACCGGAATTGAACCTGGGACCCTTCAGTCCGCAGGCCGACGCTCTATCCACTGGGCCAAACCGGTTAGGGCACGAACTCATTTTTTTGGTTGATTTTTCTTTGTGAAATGGCATTGAAATATATAAAATAAATATCAAAAATATAAATCTTTGTTTTACTATGATTGCAAATATCAAAAAATTTCTATATGTGACACGGCACCAGAGTTAAGTTAGGGTTTTTCAAAATGCTGACACTCGAGCTCAGAAGGTTCACCATCACTGCTCTAGATGCACTTGTTTGGAAAGACTACAAACTTTCCAGTTGAGGAAGACTTTTTTTTTTTTCCTTTTCAGTCTACCTGTAATGACCCTCCATAGTGGATGAAAAAATAAGCTCTTTAGATCCTTCATTCACTACAGACCAGGCTTCTTAAATTATTAGGTCACAGGTGACAAATACATTATATTTTCTATGCCAATTCTGAGGTTTTGGTAGTAGCTTCCTAAAGCACTGTGTTGAGGAGGAATCTGAGGGTATGTACAGTCTCGTTCTGTGATTAATTCATGATGTCAGCCACTGGACTGGTAGTAGGGAAGTGTGCAAATAGATAGCATCCCTGGAATAGTCTTTGCCTGTGCCTCAGTCAATTCCAGGTTCTGTTTTCAGTCTTTGTCCTTGCTCCTTCTGCATAATTTGGTCTTGTAGCCCCATCCTCCTTTATACAGGCTTCTTTTCTCTAGATCAGGTATTTTTAAACTTTTTCATCTCATGGAACACATGAATTAATTATTAAAATTCTGCAGCACTCCAAAAAAAATATTACATTCTTTGCCCATCTGACAAAAAAGGTATAATTTTGATTGATTTACAAAAAAGTAGTAATTACCTACCTTTTGGCTCCAAAGTGGCTTTAAAGAAAATCAGGTGCCTATACTTGTATAAAAGGATTTCTGCTACCATGAAATAACCAAACAGATGTAACCTTATTATGTGATAAGACTAATAAGATGCAAAGCTATTATACGACCTATATATTTATGGTTCAAGAAAGGGCATTCACAGCAAAAGGCTCTTGTATTGGCTGTTGTCATTTTTTTACTTGGCAATCTAAGGGAAAAGTAGTTAGTGCCCCTGACGAAATAGTCAGGTATTGCATGTTTTAAAAATTCTTGCCTTGGGTGGTGTGACTCAGTTGGTTGATCTTTGTCCTGTGAACTAAGATCACTGGTTTGATTCTGGTCAGGATCCATGCCCAGATTGTAGGTTCAATCCTCAGTTGAGGTGCACACAGGAGGCAACCGATCAATGTTTTTCTGTCTCTTCCTCTCTAAAGTCAATAAAAATATTTTTTAAAAAAATTGTTGCAGCACACTGGTTGAAAGTTGCTGCTATAGATCTGTTAAAAAACAGTATTCCAGGTCTGCTATAAAATCTCTGGCCTTCCATCATCCTCTGACTCTCTCCTTCAAAAGATACCCAACTACTTTTCTAAACTAATCCTTTGAGCCTGTGTACTGTTTGCTTGGAATATTTTGCCTGTCTCCCATGTCTCTGCTTGTTGAAATTTTAGCCATCCTCAAGGCCCATCTCAAATCTACTTTCCTGGTTTCCCCTGTGCCTGATAGACTATTCTTCCCATAAACTACCAAAGCATAGAGTGTTTGGGTACCATAACCAGAATTGTCTTCCTCTGTGTGCTTTTTTGACTGAGTTCCTGCCCCCAACTGAGAATGCAACATTTCTTAAGGTCAGGCAGGGATTCCATACTTTTAGCACTAGACCCTTTTTCTTCAGTATGGTTGATGCCCAATAAATGTTTCATCCTTTTCAATTCTATTCTTGCTATCCTTTGGGATAATTGTGTATATGTCAAGATTCCATTTTATTTCTATTATAGGCTCATTAGTTATACGCTTCAAAACTTTGTGTTTTTACCCCAGTGGTCATTCTAGAGTGTACAACTTTGACCACAAATTTGGTAACTAAAGGAACAAATACTTATCTCACCATTTATGTGAGTTAGGAATCCCAGAATGACTTTACTGGGTTCTCTGGCTAAAGGTTTCACACAAGATGCCAATCAAGGTATTGGCTGAGGCTGCAGTCACCTTATCTGAAGGCTTGACTGAGGGAGGATATACTTCCAAGTTCACTCATGTGGTTGTTGGCAAGATTCAGTTCCTAGTATTCTGTTGGACTGAGGGCCTCAATTCCTCACTGACTGTTGGCCAGAATCCACTCTCAGTTCCTTGCCCTATGGACCTCTATGAATGGCAGCTCACCACATGGTAGCTGCTTCCATCAGAGTTTATAAGAGATTATAAGAGAGGGTGAACAAGAGAGAAGTCTGAGTTTCTTGTACCATAATCTTGGCAGTGACATTCCAGAAATTTTACTCTATTCTGTTCGTTGGAAGTGAGTCACTAGATCCATTCCACACTTAAAGGGAAGGAATTACAAAAAGGCACAGATGA